AAAAAAAAAAAAAAAAAAAACAAATAAACAAACAAACAAACATTCGTATACACAGACTCGACCCATATTATTTTCCAACTGAAACTATCTAATTAAAGACGGTATAACAGGATTAATATGGCTAACTACTTATTCGCTACGCTTCGTAAAGAAGCTGAGTGACCAAAACCCGTCTGAAAGCGCTTCCATGAAGGCTATTCCATTGTGTGATCCGCCATGATTCAATACTATTGATCGGGAAAAACTATCAGAACTAGCTGGAAATGATTAATATGGCTAACATTTTCCCCAACTTCTTACTAACTAGTTACCCCACGTGATAAATAATTAATTGGCTATTTATGATTTGTGTAAATAAAACTAGTAATTGACTTTGTGATTTCTCAACAACATTATTGATCTAAATATTGGCCATTGAAATTAGACTTTTTATACAAAGTGAACTTCAATCATACTGCAATATTTATTTGATTTGGAGAGCTTTCAACCCGAACACGTATTTCCCTTCTAAACTGTAAAATTTCACTCCTGGTCAACTCTATATGGCTTGAACGGAATCAAATAGAATCTATCCAGGCCCATTGGGCCCACACCATGGACCGCCGCGTTTGGGGTTCCAAATTGTTGAAGTCAACGCACCAAACATTTGAACATATGAAATTCATTCTCGGTAAGCTGTTCGAGTAGTTAAATTATAAGCTGACCAATCACAAAGTACACCATGTAGCACGTACATATATATAGGTATATATATTGGTATAACTGCATAGAGGCCAACGTAAGATTTGAGAGTTTATATTTTCTTTAAATATCAGTGAAAGATTAGTTTTNTTTTCAATTGATTATGAACATATATAATGCATATGTTTTAAAACCGAATGATTAAATTTTCTTAATCAAACAAAACCGGTTTTGCTATATGAAACCATAGATGACATAACTTATAAAGTCATTCACAATAACTACACTTTAAACATGTGTGAACCCATGAAATTATAAAAGTCCCAGGAATGGAGTTGAAAGCTTCATCTTTGATTTTTTCAGGCCAGGGCCAGAATTATTTATATCCACTCTTTTTGTTCAGCTTATCAATTTATAAAATAAAGATGGAGTTGAAAGCTATATCTTTGAATTTTTCAAGCCAGGGCCAAACTTATTTATAGCCACTCTGTCTGTTCAACTTTTTCCTGTAGTTTGTCCGGTTTAATTTATTTTTATTGTAAATTTTTTAGGACATATTTTTTATATAAAGATAGAATAATATGCAATAATATTGATACTTAATGTTATATGGCATCAGTTCGAAAACCATCACAAGTCTTAGTACTGTAGCACTAATTGTTAAACTGATTAGGAATTATCGTGCTCACTCCTAACATGCACCTCTCATTTTAAATAAAATGCTATGCAAAAAGAAATGGAAAATTTGAAATAAAAATAATAAATTTACTTTATAAAATTATTTAAGGAGGATATAGTGATTGATATTTTGGGTGACATTTTGATTTTTTTTTAATCCAACACTTTTAAAGATTTTTCAACTTAAATGACATGTTTACGAATTTTAAGTCTAACGGTGAGATATTGTGGTGGGATTTGGCATAAGTAAATCGTGTTTGGAAATCTCAGTAAATTCTAGAAAATCTTAAGGTGAGATATATTGGTGGGATTTGGCATATGTAAATCGTGTTTGGAAATCTCCGTAAATTCCAGAAAATTTTAACAAATTCAAGTGCTAAAAAGTTAAATACGTCACGATTTTTTAAAATTTTATAAAATACCAATTGAAGAATTCAAGAAATTTAAAAGTTGTAAGAAGCCTAAATTAAATAAACCAAATTTTTTAAAATCTCAAAAATTCCTAAAAATCTTAAGTGAATATATATCTTAGCTACTTTTTTAGTGTTTTTTGTGTTGTTTTCACTGTTTTTGGAGCTAGCTAGTATTCTCCATTATTGAAGCTTTATTTCTTCACTTGTGGGACTGTAAACTATTACTTCTGTATTTTGTGGATGCAGTTGGTTAAGCTTATTCTAGGTTATAAGCATTCTGGTCATGTAGGCTTCTTTTTGAATTCAGTTGTTTAGTTGTTTCAATCGGCTAGTTAGACGCTTGTAATTATGTGTATATTAATAGAAAATGTCATTTAAAAAAAAAAAATACAACTCTTAGCTAATTTTTAAAATCTAAAAAAAAAAATTTGAAATTCTTAAAGTGAATCAACCCACTAGTGCACTTGTACAAATATATATGAACAAATAATAAATAAAACGAGCGAGTGCATGCATTCAAGTTCATACTATCTTTTCGGACTCTTGACT